ATATTTTGTAAAATCCCGTGATATAGTGAAGAATCCGTGATCAATAATTTAGATTAGGGGCCGGCGAGATAGCTCAGTGGTCTAAAGTCCCTGCTTAGGCTAGCTTAGGCAGGCACAGGGGATAGCGGTTCGGTTTGCGGCACCACATGCCGCGCCAATCCCGCCCCCAGGGTGGGCTGAGGCGGCCAAAAAAAATTTAGATTGCTATTTTTTGAAAACCTTCAAAATTGAGTCTGGAAGTCGAGCTGCAAAACAGCGAGCGACTACCGAAGCATTTTTTTTACATGACTGTGTGTACATAGTTATAAGCAGTCTTTCCTCTTATAATTGGCAGTCTGGTAGCTGCGCTTGCGCTCTGTGTGTCTCTGAAGCAGTAACTGGACGCGATGTCGCACCGCTGTGCGGAGGGCAGCATCAGGAGGCGTGAGGCCTGGCCCGGAGGCCGGCCTCGCTGTGCAGCTTGCCGCGAGTGGGCTAAGGAAGCGGAAGAGTGCAGGGTCCCCGAGGTTGCTGTGGAGATTGATACCTAGGAACATAAAGAAGTAATGGTAGCTGGCGCTTAATGCTCAGTGGATGCTGCCTCATGTTACTGTCTTATCGTAATTATTTTTTTATTGTTCTTTTTAATTTTTTGTTTTTAGAGAGTACAGTATAGAATTAGAACAAAAATTACAAGTGACACAGAATTTCATTTAAAGTTGTATGAATTTCACGGTATTTGTTGTAATGAGTAATGCTGTCTTCCTTCTTTTATTATTTTCGGGTACCTATTTTATTTAGTTAGTTTTAGTACTAGGGATCAAACTTGGAACCTTGTGCTTGCCAGGCAGGCGCTTAAGCCGCTGAGCCATCTCCCCAGCCCAATATATTCTTAATATATACCAAAATGATTAAACACATGCAAGGGATCCACTGGTGCTACATAGCCACCTAGTCCTATGTTACTCCAGGAGGTGGACTGTGTATAAGACACAGCCACGGTCCTCAAAGAGCGGAAATATCTCCCTGCAGAAGAAGACGGAATGCTGAGGATGATGTATTAGGGGTGGTTACGTGAGGCGTAACTGTGAGAACAGAGATACTTGGTATAGAGTGGTCAGTATTGATTTTGAATGTACTTTGAATATTTTTGCATAAAGGTTAATAATACTTTCATTAGAAATAAAAGGAAGTAAACAGGAAGGGCCGGCCGAATAGCTCAGTGCACTAAACCCCCTGCAAGCAGGCGCAGGGGCCAAGGGTTTCATCCCCAGACCTGCCGTGCCAACCCCGCCCCTGGGCTGCGCTGGGATGGCAATGGAGACTGGGCGTGGTGGCGTGCGCCTGTAATCCCAGCTCTTGGGAGGCTGTAAACAGGCAGATCACTATGAGTCTGATCTTGTAGTGAGACCCTGAACACCCTGTAGACCCTTCCCTAAAATACAAAGAAAAAAGAAAGAAAGAAAGAAAAAGAAAGAAAGAAAGAAAGAAAGAAAGAAAGAAAGAAAGAAAGAAGGAAAGAGGAAACTGTGGCTATGTAGTTCTACCTACTTACCTTCTTAGGGACCTAGTCTGATCTGCTGACTCCTTTCCCTGCCGTATTTTCTAGATCCCCATCTCTGCTGGTGACTGTCCATGAGCTGGATCATGCTTGCACACTTTCTGCTTAACAGAAGCATTTCTTTTTCTTGATACACCCCCGTTACCTTCACCACATTTTTCACTTAGTGCCAGACAAAAAGTGCTTCAGAAAATATTTTAATGAAGATGAAGGTCTGATGAACGCAAGGATGAATCTGTCCTGTACACTCCACGTTTCCAGGTCTAATGCATCGTGCCGTCCTCCTTCCCTGTGATTCCACTCAGAATGCTCTTGTCCACGTCTGCATTGCTCAGTCACTAAATTTTACAGAGATTATAGTTTTTATGAATTTCTATACTATATTTAAAATTTAGAATCTCATCTTCAGTACTGACTTCCCTTGGTTTTCATCAGATCTGTTATTAGATTACTTGGTTTGAATGTGGTTTATGAAACAACAAATAAAGCTTAAAGAACTAAATCTAGAATTAATTGTTTTTTTTAAATTTTTTTTTAACATTTATTTATTTATTTATTTAGTGTGTGTGTGTGTGGGGGGCCAGCTCAGCCCACCAGGGGGCGGGGCTGGCTGGCATGTGGTACTGGGGGATCGAACTGTGGTCCCTGTGCTTTGCCAAGCTTGTTCCAAGTAGGTGCTTTAGACCACTGAGCCATCTCGCCAGCCTGTCTAGAATTAATTGTAAAGGCCTTTTTTTTGTGTGTTACTGAATGCATTTATCTTGAACATACCACTTAGTAGCTGTGACCTAATAGAAATCCTGAGGTTTTAGTTGTGAGCACCTTTCGGTAAAATGAATATTGTATTTCTGCTTTGCCCAAATAATAGAATTTGTTTAAATAGGGGCTGGGGAGACAGCTCAGTAGAATAGGCACTTGCCTGGCAAGCATAAGGTCCTGAGTTCAATCCCTGGTACTGAAAAAAAAAAAAAAAAAAAAAAAAAATTTTTTTAAACGGCAAATCAATAATATATGTTAGGGCCAGTGAGATAGCTCAGCAGACTAAGCACCTGCTTTGGCTAGCTATCGGAGGGACCAGGGTTCAATCCATGGTCCTGCATACCACACCGGTCCTGCCCCCGGAACACACTAAGCTGGTGAGTGAGTCCAGGCATGGTGGCACATGCCTGTAATGCCAAGACTGGGGGTGCTGAAAACACGAGGATCACTACGAATGTGAGCTGGATAGTGAGACCCTGCACAAAATAAAAACAAAAACAAAAACAAAAAAAAACAATTTAGTGGGCTGGGGGGAGGAGGGAAGGAAAAAGTAAAAACAAACACAACAAACAAACCCCAATTTAACCATTTCTATTTTCTTTTTTTTTTCCAAAAAAGAAAAGAGGCAAAATCTTGTTTTGTTGTACAGGCTAGCCACCTATCCTCACACTCCCAGCAATCCTCCTGTCTTTGTTCGGGTGCTGGGGTTACAGGTCTGTGCTACTGCACCAGGAGTGTGATATTTTACAATACTTTTCATGAATGTGCAACAAGGCTCAGTAGAAAAATGTTCATCACTGCATCTGTCCTGCAATAGGGCCTCCAGAAAGTGAACCTCTGAGATAGGAATCACTTACGCTTTACTCATTTTTTACTTTTCTATTTTTATTTTAAAGATTCCTTGTTTTCTGCTGTGAAAAATTTCTCCGAGGCTGCTTCCGATTTTCATAGAAGGCTCACACAGCTTGATCTTCATAAGTAAGTTTCAGAGGCCTGCTACTTAGAAAAGCAACCAGCTTGTAGGGGGAAACTGCTTTCACTCATGTGAGTGTGCAGCTCTAGATCGTTGGTGCTCAGTTGTGTCCTACAAGACAGCAACATCGGCGTGACCTCAGGTGTTGTTGGAAGGGCAGATGTCATCCTCACCCAGGACAAGACGAATTATCTCGGGAGATAGCTCAGTAGAATAAGCACTTGCCTGGCAAGCGCAAGGTCCTGAGTTCAATCCCTGGTAGCACACACACATAAAAGACAAGGTGAATTAGATTCTGCCCTGTATTAACACCTGTGGGTGATTCATACTGATATTAACCCTTGAGGAGTGCTGTTCCACATGTCAGACCACAAAAACTAAGTCCAAGACAAGGTTCAAAATACTTTAAAAATATATTCAAAGTAAATACTTTATAATCGTAACTATTCTGCAGCATAGTTCCTATGGCATTTACTTTTTCAGACTTACTCAGAAAGCACTGTGAGCAGTTTTGAGGAGCTTTTCTTTTCCCTTGGATTATAGAAGTACCTGGTATACTTTTTCAGTTCCTCCCAAGAAAATCTGAGGATTCCCTGTAGGTGTCCCCCCTCCCCAGCCTCATGCAGTCATGGGGGCAGCCTCTGGAGTTTGTGATTGATTATTGTGGATGTAGGTGCTGTGTTTGCCCTGAGGCAGGGAATTTGCATTATGGTGTAAGGAAGGGAGGGAGGCTGGCTAGCTGCCTGAGTTGCTGTCACTCCCTTCTTCACTCTTGCTCTTTACAACCTCCCTGAGCAGCTGTTCTCTGTCATGTGCCACTCTGCCTTGGAGCCAGCTGAGTATGGTCTGAAACCTCCACTAACTGTGAGCTAAATAGACCTTTCTTTCCTTCATTGTGGGTGTCCGGTATTTGTCCCAGCAATGAGGGAAGAGTAACTGAGACACTGTGTGAGAAGAGTCCCTGGGCACAGTGTGCAATGTTCTCCCGCCCTTCTTACAGCCTCCTGAGATCTCCACTCCTTCTTCCCCAGCCTGCAGTCTATCTTTCTTCCACAGCAGGACACAGTGCTTTATCAAGTAGTGTGAAAGTTCACTGTGCTATCCTTCCAAGAGGTCCAGCTGTACTCTAGAGAAGTAAAGCAGTCTTTCAATTCTATTTGATCAGTCTGTGCCCTTTAAAAACCCATTTTGCAAATAGGATTCTATTCTAAATGCCAGAAAGACAACGCTGTTGTTTTATGTCATTTACCACAGAAGGCCAATTGTGTTCATATGTATTTTGTTAAAGATCTATTGATTTTATTTTCCCATGCCTTATCTTTAATACTATTTTAAATGTGACTCCATGGTGATATTTTAATTATATCTTTCTTGTTCTCAAAGTCCCATTGCAGTGAGAATTATGAATGACCAGTTGATGCTGCTGGAAAGAGCGTTCATTGACCCCCTGGGTTTACCAGGAAGGCGGTTCTACAGGTAAGCAAGCAATAGGCGAACTCTAGGGCTTCCACAGCAGGACACAGTGCTTTATCAAGTAGTGTGAAAGTTCACTGTGTAAGAGGGCACCTCCCTCTTACCACAAAGAGGATGCCCCAAATCTGCTTTTCACAGATTCTCTCAGATGAGAGGCTGTGAATATGCAGACTGAAAGGAACACAGGTAAATGAATGTGCCCAATACTAATACAGTGTGTGACATTAGAGAAGTAGATGTGACATGGTTTTGTTGTGTTTACAAATAATAAGCGATACTTGAAAATAACTCTTCATAATAAAATGCACAGACTACAGCCTTTAAAGGGCTTTTAGGGCTCATCCAGTTCTACCATCTACTTGAGTCCTTCTCACAGACCCTCCATAAGTAGCTGTATGCAGTCTATTCAACATGTCCAGGGCTGTGCTGGCCTCACGCCGTAGCCCGTGCTGTGTTTCCAAATGCGGCATGTGCTTTTATCTTTGTTCTCTCCCTCTTTTTCTATTTAATCGGCCCAGGCTTGCTCTGCAGAGCCAGTTACTGCCTCACTCGTCACTTCTACTTTCTTGAATAAACTTTACCACTACCAAAAACCAAAAGACAAAACAAAACAAAACACACAAAGCAAAACACAAAACACAAGCCCACTTCTAGTGGTGGAAAGCTTCCTTCTACATGAGAAGCCCTTGTATTGCAGGGAAACACTAACTCTGAAATCCATTTTCTGCAATATTCCCCTGCAGACCCTGCTTTATTCTCCAAAGTCAAACAGAGTAACTCTAGCTCTCTCTCCAGGTGACATTTTAGGTTTTTAAGATGATGCTGTGCTCTTCTGAGGAAATAATCCTGTTTCTTTCTATAGTTTTGTGTCATAATTCCATGTCTTGTTTGTGGACATCTAGTTTGCTTGTATTTTCTCAAAGTCCTTTCAAACTGCTTCCTTGGTAGAAATTAGAAGAGTCCTAAGAGTCCTAGCATTTAAAGTCAGAAAGTCTGTTTGTGTTTAAATACAGATGTGTGATTTACAGTAAGTCACTCCTGGGTTTTTCCATCTGACACAAAATGATGAAAAGTTCTACTATACAAGTTATTGATCCTCATACATCATATTAAAAATAGTTCTATGGGCCAGCGAGATAGCTAAGCAGACTAAGCACCTGCTTAGACAAGTTCAGGGACTAGGGTTCGATCCCTGGCACCATAGTGCTGGCTTTGACCCTGGGCATGCTGAGCCAGCCACTGAGACCAAGAGTGGTGGTGCAGGCCTATGATCTCAGCACTGGGAAGACTGAAAACAGGAGGATCATTAGGAGTCTGAGCTGCGTAGTAAGAAACTGCACCAAATACATTAAAAAAGTTCCACTGGAGAGTGTGGTGAGAAATGGGGCATGGCCTGCTTCTCCAGGGTCCTCCAGGCTTCCTGTCGATGGCGGTGGGTGACTTGGGGGTGCGAGAGTGGTCCACACCTCTGCTCTGTAGGTCCCTGGGTCTCTTGCCCTGACCGCCCACTGGCTGGACCCATACTTTCAAGTAATTGGAGCTGATCGTGCACTCCACTTTGATGACCTAATAGCAGTGGCCTTGGAGCCTCAGTGCCTTAGAGGCCCTTAGTGGCTGAGCTTTCATATCCCCCTTCCTGCGCCCTTGATGTAAAGGCCTTCTGCAGCCATCTGAGGCCCCACTCTTTGCACTGTGCCACATTGCAGCCATGTAAAGCGCCATGTCCTGGACAGCTGGCAGGTGCTTGGCCTAGGCTGGCAGGGTTGGGCACTGTGCAGATCTGGGCCCTGGGATGACTGCTGTGTCCCAGCTGGAAGGGACTGCTCCTCCTGGCCACCAAGGCAAATAAAGTCCTCATGGGCCCTAGAAGGTGAGAGAGCCCAGGGGAGGACAGATGCAAGGGCTGGCAGGCCCCAGGCTGTTGCAAAGAGAGACATAGAGTAACGCTCCACGCGGCCTAATTGGAAATGCCCATCGCCCCATGGGAAGATTTACTGGCCGTCTTAGAAGGCCTATGTATATAATACGAAAAAGCTGCTCTCAGCATCCCCCTCCAATCTTTTAAAAGGAAACTTGCTGCATGTGGACGGTATAATTGTAAAGAGGTGGCCGACATATGATCAACTAATTAGAAAAACTACACGTCTTGCAAACATCCATTTGTTTTAAAAAATGACAGAAAGAAACATCTTTTGGAAGTGAGTTTTTTTGAAATGGAGTTCTTTAGATTGTCTGGGGAAGTGAGCCTAGGAGTTGTAAATTGTCCACGTTTGTTCTGTGGGTTAGAGAACATGGAGCAGAAAATAAAAGCAGGTCCAGTGCCAGACTGGATACATGTAGAAGAGTTTGGATTGTAACCATTGTTTTGTGTGTGCATTTTAGTCCTCATTAATATATATTTGACAATGCTAAGTACTTTATTGAAATATCTGGTCGTTGGAGCTATTCCAAAGTGCCTGATAGCATGTTTAAAAAGCAGAAGTAGTGAAATAATGCATTTTGTGAATTTCTTTTTGCTAGAGCTCACCCCAAGTGCCGTGGGAGGGGTGGATAGCAAGCCACCTCTTGAGTAGTACACGTTGTTTGTGTGCTGGTTCGTGGAAGAGAAAGAAATGGAGAGTGCTGAGCTCGGGCACTATAGCAAGGCGAGTTGCTACTGTCCCTTAGGTCTGTGGGCTCTGTGTACTGTGCTGTGTAGGGAGGGCATGTAAAGGCCAGATGGGACCTTTCACAACATCTAGTCTTCCTAGATGTTAAGCGGGTTGCCAGTTTTGATAAAAGTAGTTAGTAACCTGAGAAGCTTTGTAATAAAATCCCCAGGAGACTGTCTTTGGAAAGTGCTAATATTTTAGCCCACTGAGTTAGTGGAGAAAGGGAGGGGTCTAGATTCATATTTTCAATTATTGTTATATGTGCACAGTGTAACCAAGACTGAGGTGTATATAATGGACAAATTGAATTCTTACTTGAAACATGTAGATTTACGTAGATGTTCAGAAGTGCCCAACATACGTTAAATGTAGAGGTAGTAAAATATCACTTTGTAAATATCTTTTTGCTAAAGCTCATATGAAATACCATCTTTTGGGAATGGAATGCTTAAGCTACCTCTTGAACAATTCTCTGAACTGGTTCAGTAGTTTGGAGGACATGGAAGGGAAGCGATTGTAAAAGGTATTATGTTAGTGTGTTTGTACTTGGACATTTTGAGACATCTTTTGTAGTGTTTTGTGGGTTTTGCTTTGCTGTGTACATAGTGTATAAAACAGACAAATCCAAATATTGAAGCACCTAGTCCCTGAGTGTAGAAGTTTGCCAGTGTATGACACAGCAGTAAAATTAACACATTTTGTACACTTTGTGTTGAAATACACAGAACAGTTTGTCCTCTGTAAATGAGCTTTGGATTCAGCCATCTCTAATATTATGTATGCCTGTGCTATATGTGCAATTTATTTATCAGTGCTGTATGGTAGCAGAGAAGTTCTTATATGAAAAATCTAGTTCTAACTATATAGAAGTGCTTGATATGTTTTAAAGTAGAAGTAATAGAATAACACTTTATAAATAGGTTTTATAAACTGATGGAAAATACTGTTGGCAAATAGAATGTTTAAACCATCGTCAAAAGAAAAAATTCTATCTTACCCAGCTAAATCTTAGAGATTAGAATTAACATTTAAATAATTATAAGCAGATGCTTTTATTATTTTTTAATTAATTTTATTGAGAAACAAATAGCAATAAGACAGTTTCAAAACAGGTTAGTAGGACAGTTTCAATAATTAGTACAATAAAAAAAGAAAAAAAAATAATTAGTGGAATGCATATTGTTATCGTCTTAGTGGTTATTCATAGCACAAGATGCAGACATGATATCCTGTCCAAATACTATTAGTACAAATCTTTCTTCTCATTGAATTAAGAGAAAGTAGCTGTATATCTATCCTAGCTATTTTGTATATACAGATACAAAATGGTCCTTCATTTATATCTTCTTTTTTCATTTAGTTTTGTCAGAGATGGGTATTCCATTGCCATTTAAATATTGTAAGTGTGTGAATTCATCAACATTATCCAATATAGTCCAGCAGTCCATAATAGTAGTGGGTTATCTGTAGGACTGGCAATGTCAGAAGAAGACTTGAGCCTTTTACAGCTCAGCATATTAATATAGCTGTACTTTTTATACCTCATGGTTATACTTTTCTGCTGGATGGTTAGGACCAAGATAAAGCAAGACCTATATAACAAAAAATGTAGCTTCTGTATCTGACAAGGTCAGTCAAATCCCCTCAGGATTTACCCTGAAACCATGTACCTCAGTTTGCAGATCCTTTGTCAGTGTCAGTCATATGGAAGAGTCATGGCCATTGCTTGACCAATTTGCACTCTGTGAAAGCCTGAGAGAATGTTTTCTCTCCATGTGACACTTCCTAGGCACACTCTACATCATCGATCACTTTCCTCTGTGGCCCCATAATCTCCTTGATCAGAAAATGTGGGACACCACTGAGTGACAGGATGCTACAATATAGGTTCTCGTATGTCCTGAGTCCTCACTGACTTTGAATGGCTAGGTAAGCAAATGCTTTTAAAACATAACTCTGCTACATATTAAATGTGGCCTGAAATACTTACTTCTCAGCCTGATTGCTCACCTGTAACTGGATATTATAAATTGCTTTTCCCACAGGCTTGTGAACTCAGGGCATGTAGAAGTTTTAGCTTAGAAAGGGATGAACCAGCCAATTGTATGTATTTTTATTTAGAACCTATAGAAAATGACTCCCCAGAGGCATTTTCCGTCTTCCTGGTATAGCTGGCTCACGGGTTCTGAGCCTGTTGCGAGGTCCTGCCTCAGCAATCTGTTGGGGATGAGAAGATGATGCACACTTGATGCAGTTGCTGGTGCTTTGGCACTGGCCTGTTGCGCTGTTTATGCCCCTGAGGCAGTCTCAGTCTTGGATGCAAGGAAGAACCACTGATTAGAACATTTATGTCACCTTGACTAAAGTGGTGCAATTAGCGATAACCATAGCATTAAACACAACCAAGAAAATGACAAACTGTAGTCATCTCCCACCTTAAACTATGTTCATTTTCCACCATTTGCCACCTTTAACTGCATGAACTAGATTTGTGGTTATGTACTGAAGTCTAAAATAAACCAGAAAATTGTTGGTGGTAAATAAGCCCTTGATACAGAAATTTTATCCTCAGGGGAGAACATTTAAGGGGGTTGGGGAAAAAATAGAGAGATAGAAGAAAAGAAATTAGAGTCTAGGCTGGAGGAGAAAGGAAGATCATGCAAACTTTGGGAAACTGTTGGAGAAGACATGAATAAAAGAGAAAGAAAGGGCCAGGGAG